GGTGGGTTGGCCCCACCTACCCTCTGTAGTGGGCGGTCGGAGCCCAGCAGTGAGAGGCCAAGGGGAGAGGGGGCAGGAGCAGGGAGCCCAGGGCCCCTGGAGCTGGTCAGTGTAAACCAGCTTCACTGGTGGCTCAGTGGTAAAGAACCTGTCTGCCGATGCAGGAAACATGGGTTCGAACCCTGGTCCAGGAAGACCCCACATGCCTCGGAGCAGCTAAGCCCGTGCCTTACAACTAGTGAGCCTGTGCTTGAGAGCCCAGGAACCGCAACTACTGAAGCCTGCTCACCCTAGAGCCTGTGCTCCACGACAGGAAAAGCCACCGCAAGGGGAAGCCCCTGCACCGCCATGAGAGTAGCTCCCACTTCCTGCAACTAGCGAAAGCCCTCATGCAGCAACGAAGACCCCGCAGGGTCAAAAATATATACAGAAATAAAACTAACTTTTAAAAAAGTATAGACCCCTTTTACAGATGGAGAAACTGAGGTACAGAGAGAAAGCAGGCCCCAAGCCCCACAGTGAGCCAGTGGCCCCCCTAGCTCTCTCTCTGCTGGCCACACTGAGCAGTCAGTCCTCTGCTCACCCACACACCCCCTCACCTCCAATCCACATATACTGGCAAAGATCTCCAAGCCCAAGTTCTGCCTCTGTGTCCTAGACTCAAGGAAACGTTCGCAGGCCCGCGTGTGCTGGGAACGTGGGAATCCTCGGAACCCCAGAAAGGGAAGAGTCTGCCTCTCAGGGAGGGGAAACCGAGGCCCGGAGCCAGGCGGGCAGGGCCTCGGCCGGTCACACAGCCAGCATCGCCCCTCCAGGCCCGTTTCCATAGTTCCACCGCCCCGAGGAATAATTAGAGAAAGTTAAACACACATAATTTAATTGCTTGTCGATGACAGGATGCCAGGGGAGCCATAAAACCCGCCCAGCCTCAGAGCGCCTGCCCGGGCAGGTGGCACAGGAGGCTGGTCTGGCAGCCTGGGGCCCTGCCCCCTGGCTGGGCCTCTCTCTGCGGCTGGGGCGCCGGGCCCCTCCCTACCCCTCCCCTGGCCGGCTGACAGCCAAGCCGCTCCCCGCGGGCCGAGCAGGGTGCCCCGTGCCAGCACAGACTAGGCCCGGGGCCCTGCACCCTTTCCAGAAACAGGTTCCTGTGAGAGCCACAGGTTCGCCCCTCTCTGCTGACCGGCCCCCCTGCAGGGCGTCCTGTGTGTTGCCTCAGACCCTGGAAATGTGTTCACGGGTCCCGAATGCCTCGGGGACGTTCACTGCGTGGAGCTGAGGCCTGACTGACACCTCACCCACCTTCTTCCTTTGGCGGGGGGGTCCCCAGGGTGGGGTGGCACCCCCCTGTGTGTGCAGGGAACAGATGAAGCTCAAGCCGGAAAGTTCTCTGGGCCAGCCCGCTTCCAGAGTCGACGCCCTTTTTGCCCCATAAGATGCTCTTGGGCCTCTGCTGCGAGGGTAGGCACCTCATTCCCGCTACCCTACCCCCTGCGCATCAGCATTAGCACACGGTGGGCCCCCCCTGGCAGTCTGGTGGTTGGTTAAGACTTCATCTTCCCATGCAGGGGTTGCTGGTTCGATCCCTGGTGGAGGAGCTAAGATCCCACATGCCTCGTGGCCGAAATGCCAAGACATGAAAAGCAAAGAAATGTTGTAACAGATTCGATGAAGACTTTAAAAAATGGTCCACATCTAAAACAAAAGCAAAAGGATATAAGCACAGGGTCACCAAGGGGCTCACGGGCACCCACCGGGTGTCCAAGGGGCTCACGGGCGCCCACCGGGCATCCAAGGGGCTCACGGGCACCCACCCAGCCTCCAGGTGGAGGAGGGGGTGGCCAGGGGTGGGTAGGGGACGGGGTGGGGTGTGAATGACGGGCTGGAGGACGGATGAGTGGGTGGATGGATGGGCGGGAGTGGGTGCATGGAGGTGGGATGGCATGACACATGAGACCCTTGTTTTGTTTCGCTGTCTGTCTTTCCCACGAAAGGCTGCTTTCAGAGGCACCAGGATCCTGCTGTATTTAGGAGGGAGGCACTGAATGTCCCCTGGGAATCTTTCCGTGTGTCTGGCCTTGTTGACTGGGGGCCTAGGGGCACATGGCCATTATATAGGGTACGTGTGTGTGCTCAGTCGTGTCCGACTCTGTGCAGCCCTTTGGACTCTAGCTCACCAGGGTCCTCTGTCCATGGGTCTTTCAGGCAAGAAGACTAGAGTGAGTTGCCACTTCCTCCTCCAGGGCATCTTCCCAACCTAGGATCGAACCTGCGTCTCCTGCATCTCCTGCATTGCAGGTGGATTCTTTACCCGCAGAGCCATTCCAGAGAGCCGCCCTCCCCCTACCGCCAAATTGTACAGTGGGCCCCCCCAAATTTCAGTGCCTGTGGGCCTTTCCCCTGGGGTGGATCCCTGAGCCCAGCGAGGACCATCAGCCCTCCCTGTTCTCCAAGCCCTTCTGTGTCTACCAGCTTGGGACTCGGCCCCTCTCTACCTTTCCCCTAGTGACTCATCCTTGAGAAGTCCCCTCTGCCCGTCTCTCTGCTCTGTGCCTTGTACCTTTTACTTTCTTTACCATCCCTTTTGCTGGGAGGAGATGGAGGGAAACATGTGTGTCCAACCCCCCGCGTTTAACCAGAAAACCACCTCCGTTCCTGCTGGTCCTTTGTGAAGTCCTGCCCCATCCCTGAGTCAGACAACTGTATACATTCTTTTAGTTGTTTTAAAGTTCCAGTGTTTATACCTCAGTCTTTAATCTCTTTTATGTATCCGGGTTACTGACAAGGTTTTATTGGGGGAAGAAAAAGAGTTCTGTTTCTAAAAAAAAAAAAAAAGGCTTATAAACCATGAACTGGGCACAGCCCAGGGTGGATAGGGAAGGAGATGAGGATGAGGGGGTCCCTGCCAGTCCACAGAAACCTGGGTAGGGCTGGTGAGCAGAAAGTAAGGAGCTGTCAGCCCCCATGGCCCCGAGGCTGGGCACCCCTGGGGAAGACACAGCCTGAACCACCTGTTCCCAAGGTCCTAAGATCCTGGGAGTTTCGTTGCATCTCTCACAGGACAAGCATTATTGTAAAACAGGGATGTTTCCAAGGTGGTTCACTTCAGTGACAAAGATACAGGACTTCTCCAAAGACAGACAGGGCTGATGATGGGGGGCGGGGACCCCGCCAGTGAGCACGGGGGCCTCGCCGCAGCCAAGGGGCCTCTGAACACCAAATGGGACATGCTGAGTTACCCTAATACCTCTTGTGTGTCTGCTTGACCAGAAAGGGGTGCCTGTGGGGTCAGGCTTTGAACTGAGGGAGGAATCTATCTCTTGACTTTCAGAGCAATAAAAGCTCTTAGGAACAGCTTTGAACCATCTATTTCCTCATTAAAGAGCTCTGGGTCTCTGGGGGAGACAGACATAAATAGATGATTACAGCCCAGGGAGATGTGTGCCTGGGAGGTTAACCATTACTGGTCTCCTAATTGGCCTTCCGGCTCCGGGGCCCTCCCACTGCCTCCCACGGTACACTCTGCTGCCAGAGCGAGCTTTTAAACATGCAAATCTGACCTTGGCTTTCACCGCCTCCAACAGCTGCCCATTGGTCTCAGGACACTGCTGGGCTCCTCCCCACTGTCCTCCTGCTCCAGCCCTGGTGGTGCCCAGGTGTGCTCTGGCCCGCTAGGCTGCTGGAAGACCCTCCCCGGTTCTGTTCCCCTCTGGTGTCAGCACTAATTCTTCCTTCTGTGGAATCTGACCAATCACTGTGCATCCCTCAGGCCTCACCTTAGATGCCACTGCCTCCAGGAAGCCCTCCTGGACCACCCCCAGCCCAGATGGGCTTTGGCAACCCCAGACAGGCTACCCACTCCAGTATTCTTGGGCTCCCCTGGTGGCTCAGCTGGTTAAGAATCCGCCTGCAATGTGGGAGACCTGGATTTGATCCCTGGTTTGAGAAGATCCGTTGGAGAAGGGAACGGCTACCCACTCCATTATTCAGGCCTGGAGAATTCCATGAACAATATATTCACAGGGTCTCAAAGAGTTGGACACAACTGAACAACTTTCACTTTCAAGTTGCTCTTTTACACGTTCTATTCTTACAGCTCTTAGCAGCTTGTGTCTTTTTACCTGTTCCCTTCCTCAGACTGTATCTCTCAAAGGCAGGGAGTGTGTCTCATTTACTACTCATTCATTAACTATCAGATTTTTTTTTTTAATGGTGGAGTTTATTTTAAAAAATATTTTTCAACATGTACACACTGCTCTATTTATTCTTTATTTATCTTTGGCTGCACTGGGTTTTTGTTCCTGCATAGGCTTTTCTTTAGTTGTGGCAAGCAGGGGCCATTCTCTAGTTGCGGTGCACGGGCTTCTCATTGCAGTGGCTTCTCTTGTTGTGGAACACAGGCTCTAGGCATGCGGGCTTCAGTAGTTGCAGCATGCAGCCTCAGTAGTTGCGACTTGCCGGCCCTAGGGCACGGGCTTCAGTAGTTTTGGCACAGGAGCTCATTAGTTACAGCTTGAGGGCCCGAGAGCTTGCAAGCTTCAGTAGTTGTGGCGTACAGGCTTAGTAGCTTGTGGCATGTGGAATCCTCCCAGACCAGGGATCGAACCAGGTCCCCTGCACTGGCAAGGGGATTCCCATCCACCGTGCCACCAGGGAAGTCCTCAGATATTTTTTGAGCCACTACTTTGTGCCAGGTACTGAAATTCATGAACAAACAAAACAGACAAAGACCCTGCGCATATAACACTTGCAGGCTGACGAGGCATCCCAGGTCGTAGCTCAGACGATTCACAATACTCTGCTGTGGATGCCCAGAAAGGAGGCTCGGAGGTCAGGCAGGCTGCCTGGAGGAGGGGGCACTAAAGATAAGGCTCTGAAGGATGCGTAGGAGTTTTCCAGGCAGCAACTCAGAGATTTCCCTGCCTGCCTGAGCAGAGGCTATCCTGCCTGGCCCGGCTGCTCTCTCCCCAGGATCCACTCCACTCTCACCTCTTCTCTTTCAGAATGTATGAACTGTACCCGGCTCAGCGACATGAGTGAGCGGCTGACCACGCTGGAGGCCAAGGTCAGATGGTCTGGGGATCCTGGGCCTAGGGAGTTGAAGAGGGAGGAGCCGGCGTCAGCCCCAGGGAGCCCAGCAGGCCTGAGCAGCCTGGTCCCGGGGGCTGGGTGCTATTTGGGGCCTCAGTGGCTCTAGGTAACTTTCTCTAGGCTGGGCCAGCCTCCTGGGGTGGGAGAGGGGAGTGGGATGTGTAAGAAACCCAAGGGTCCCGGGCAGCAGGCTGGTCTGGGTGTGAGCCACGATGGGTGGGAGACCCCTCAGTGGAAAGAGGAGGGAAGTCGCTGTCCCCCCAGAGCTGCTGACCCCCACTCTGGCCCCTGCGAGCTTTCTCCCCGTCTACATCAGGGGGCAGCGGGATGGAGCAGCTCACCCCAGAGGCAGAAGGGCTCAGTAAAGCCCAGGTCACTTATCTGGGAGTGGCCCCAGGCAGCAGCGTGAGGAGGACAGGGCTCAGAGAAGGGGAGGATGTGAGAGGTGCAGGTATGTCAGGGAAGCGGCCCCGTGGGGACACCTGGGGCTCTGTCCCGCCTGGCCCCCGGGAGACAGCGCAGAGCCCACCTGGGGGCCAGCCTGGCCCTCGCTGGGACGCGCTTCTGCGTGCTGCCCCTGTCCCCACGTGCCCCTGCGGACAAGCCCCACCGCCTTCACCTGGAAAGCAGGCGTGGGGTGACTGGTCTGGGGGAGGCAGGCTTGGGGGCTGCAGCTGCTGTGCCTCCAACCTCCAAGGAGCCTCTGGGGGCAGCGGGACTGCCGGGGGCTCCTGGCCCAGGGCAGAGCCAGCACGGGGGGCTGGACTGACCTGAGCCGAGGCAGCGCTCTCTCAAGGGCAGACCGCAACAGCTGGGCCAAGACGCTGCCCGGGAGGGCGCTGTGAGCATGGCCGGCCGGCAGGGAGGCCGGAGTGAGGACAGGGCGCCGAGGGGGGCTGCCAGACCCCCACGGCGGGAACATGGAGCAGACCCAGAGGTCGGACCCCAGCCCAGGGGGGCCTGACAGGCAGGGCCTCCCTGCAGACACACACACACAGACACACACAGACACAGATACACACACAGACACACACACAGATACACAGATACACACACACACAGACACACACACACAGACACACACAGATACACACCCAGATACACACACACAGATACACACAGACACACACACACACACAGATACACACACAGACACACAGACAGATACACACACAGACACACACACAGACACACATAGACAGATACACACACAGACACACACAGATACACACCCAGATACACACACAGACACACACACAGACCAATACACACACAGACACACACACACAGATACACACAGACACACACACACACAGATACACACACAGACACACACACAGATACACACACACAGAGAGATACACACAGACAGATACACACACAGACACACACAGATACACACCCAGATACACACACAGACACACACACAGACCAATACACACACAGACACACACACACATAGATACACACAGAGACACACACACACAGATACACACACAGACACACACACACAGATACACATAGACAGATACACACACAGACACACATGACCACACATATAGAGACACACACACATAAACACACAGACACACATAGCCATACATATAGCCACACACACATGAACACACAGACACACACATAGACACATACTTAAACACACATGAATACACAGAGGCACACACACAGACATACACATAAACACACAGACACAGATAGCCACACACATAGACACACACATAGACACATACGTAAACACACACACATATAAACACACATGAATACACAGAGGCACACACATAGACATACACATGAACACACAGACACACATAGATACATACATGAACACACAGAGACGTGCAGAGAAACACACATGAATTCACAGAGACACGCATACACACACACAGATGCACACAGACGCACGCAGCCCTGGCCAGTGCTGCGTCACCCTTCGGCTGTGCCTCCTGCCTTGAAGCCTGACCATGGAGACATCTGCCCAGTGCAATGGGGGCTGCGGTGACTGGCAGCTGGAGCCGGGCACGTGTGGGACCACCCCCCACCTGCTGGGTGACTCACTGAGCCCCACCTCCTCCTCTGTGGAGTGCGCGGGGGTGCCAGCCTCACAGAACCGCTCGGGGCCTCAGGTGCCATGTGGGGGGCCCCATGAGGGACAGATGTGAGGCTCTGTGTTCCCATTTGTGCCACCTCGCTGTGGCCTCTTCCTGATGGAGGCACAGGTACATGGGAGGAGCCCCACGGCAGAAGCGTGAATGGGCCCCTTGTCCCCGCAGGCAGGAGGGTCCCCCAGCAGCCCAGGTGCCTGGGCAGAGGCCGGGGGTGGAGACCCCGTGCCCTCCCTGGGTCAGCAGCTCTGCAAGGTGGGGACAGAAGGCTTCAGGGAGCGGATGCTGCCACATGAGCCAAGCTGGGGCTGGGGCAGCCCTGGCAGGGATGAGAGATGCTGGGGAAGATGCTAGAAGGAACTCGTGGTACCCGAGACTCTAAAAAAGGCGGGTTCCCCAGGCTCGCTGGCCTGACAGACATTTTCCAGACACCTGAAACCTCCGCGTGGTTTGGCAGAGCGCCGGCCCAGCACCTCGGGGTGTTACAAGTCACAGCTCTGAGGCAGGACTGGCACCATGCCCGCTGTCCCCCCGCCCCGGTCCTCACCCATGCCCGCCCGCCATAAGCAAATCCTCCCCTGGTGCCCCAACCCTGTGCCGCCCTCTGCCTGGGGATGACGCACCCCGGCCCGGCCAGAGCGGAGGGCTGGAGGCCGGCTTACTCCTTACTCTCTGGCCCCGAGGGTGAGGGTCGTGACTCCTCCACAGACCTCAGGGGGTCTCCTCCGCAGACTCTGTGAGGATCAGGCTGTCCCAGTGATAACGCAGTGATAACAGGGCCCTTCTCAGCTCTGGGCGTCAGCCTGCTGCCCTGTAAGGTGGAAGTGGAAGGGGTCACTTCCCGGCCGCTCCGTGGCTCATACAGAGATGACCTCAGGTGACCCTTGGGTGGGGAGATAGACGAGGGAGCTTGAGACAGGTGTCCAGAGAGGTGGCAGCCGTGGAAATCCAGCCATTCTGGATTTCCCGATGGCGATGGGAGGCTCCGGTCTCAGCCCCTGTGTCCAGTCTGGGTCCCCTTCCAGCTGCCCGCCTGCCTGCTGGGTGCCCACGTGTCCCCTGGAGAAGCAGGGCCCCTCGGAGCTTCACCCTCCCCATCAGAGGGTCCTGACGGGCAGCAGCCTAGAGAGGGTGGGGGACACAGGCCAGGCTAGCAGCCAGGACAGCCCCGCAGCCTCAGGGTCGTGTGAGGTCAGGGGAGCCCACAGGGTCAGAGAGAGCACGGAGCTGGGGTCAGGTGGGTGAAGGCAGAAGCGGGCAGGCAGATCCCCGATGGGGAGTCAGAACCTGGGCAGCTAGCAGTAAGTCCAAGGCCTGAAAACTTCGACATCTGCTTCCTCAAGACGAGAAGCCTGTTTTGACATGTCAAGAGGGATGCATTCAGTGGCCAGTAATGCGAACCCAGCCATTGGCAGCTTATTTCTTAGCATTTATTGTTAGTTCAATAGGAAGTCCAGACTCTGTGGTCTTGGGATTGGTTTGGTGACTCAAGAAACCAGACTCCCTCCACAGCCTTCCTCTCCACCTTCTTAGTGAATTGGCTTTTGTCCTCATGTCAGTTAGTGCTAAAGCATTCGTTATTCAGTCGTGTCCAACTCTTTGCGACCCCAAGAACTGTAGCCTGCCAGGCTCCTCTGTCCATGGAATTCTCCAGGCAAGAATACTGGAGTAGGTTGCCATGCCCTTCTCCAAGGGATCTTCCTGACCCAGGGATTGAACCCTGGTCTCCTGCACTGCAGACAGACTCTTTACTGTCTGAGTCACCAGAGTGCCTCATGATTACAAAGTGGCTGCTGCAGCTCAAAGCCTCACATCCTTATACATTGTTCAAAGGCAGGTAGTAGAGGGTGAAGCAAAGTATCTCAAGAAATTCATTATGTCTCATTGGCCAACACTAGGCTATATGCCCACCTCCTAGGTACAAGGGAGCTGGGAAAATGAGTAATTGGCCAGTGATGATTCCTTCTCTGGGGCATACTCACTGGCTCACAGTAAGGGTTCTAGAGCCAAGGAAGAGGAGGTGGTTGGAGGCCAGGCAACTGCAAAGGACTGCTCCATCTTCACTCCCTGCAGTGCCCGAGTTGCCTAAGGATCCAAACCTAGGAGCTGATCTAGATTCCTCCCATCCCCTTCCTAGGATAGGCTAGAGCAGCTGTTGGGGGATCGTGGGGTAGAAAGCCAGCAGAAAAAAAGTTTCCTGCCTTCCTTCCTCTCCTCCCCCTCAGTTTACACTCCGACTCCAAGGACCAGACCGAGTGGGAGGGAGCCCGAGGGGATTTCCCTGGGTGAGGACTGGTCTCTGGTGCAGGAGGGCGGTGTCCTGGCCAATCAGCCAGGCCACAAGGACGTCATCAGAGCCCCTGAGATGGAAGGCTGGCTGGCGTCTGGTTTTCTCAGCTGAGTCCCCACACCGCCCACTGTGCCCCGGTGAGCTCAGCCCGGCAGAGACGGGTCAGTTTCTCCAGGAGGTTGGCCACGGCCAGACCACGGGGGCTTGAACTCTGGAGTGGGCTGCTTCTAACTTGACGGTGTCCATAGCTCCTCTGCCTGGGTCCATGGGCTCTGTGGGCCTTGGTGTATGTGAGGGAGGTGCCCCAGGAAGGAGTGAGCTTGGTCTTTTGTGCAGGGGCGAGGTTGTAGGCAGAGGGTCCCTTCGGGGAGCCCAGGAGCCCTACCACGAAAGGAGCCCAGGAGCCGTCTGGCTGCCCCCACCCTGATCCCGCCAAGCCACACTCCCCCTGCTCCTGGCGCCCCCCTGTTACCTATGTTCACACGGAGGGGTCCTCCCCACCCCCACCAAGATGCTGTATCTCAACTCATCCCCCCGACTGGGGACCTTCACCCCCAAACCTGTCCTCTCCTGTGCCGCTGTTTGAATGGTGGCGATCCTACCACCCCCCAAGCCAGGCTAGAGACAGGGCCACCCCCTGCCTTCACGTCCTGCCCCCAAGTCCTGGCCACCAGGTCCTCACAGTTCGCACCCCCAGCCTCTCGCTCATGCCCTAGGGCGCCCATCCCCTACACCGACAGCCAAGTCTCCTTGCCCTGTCCACCCCTTGGCCATGGCCGGTCAGCATCCCAGTGGACGTCCCCTCCGTGGCGGGGGCAGGAATTGTAACCCTCCCCTCCGCGAGGAGTTCCACCCCAAGCCGCTACGCGGTCTGAGCCCGCCGCTCCCCTGCTCAGGGCCTCTGTGACGCTCCACTGAGGCCAGGGCAGCAGCCCAGGAGTGGAGCGGTGGATGAGGCGCCACAAGGGGCCCTGGCCCCGCCGCCAACTGGCTAGGTGACCTTGGGCAAGTCCCTTGCGGCCTCTGAGCCTCTCCATCTCGCCTCTGGCCTGGCTGCAGTGGCCCTTCCTGTTTCATGAGCCCTTGTAAGGACCAGGAAGGAGAGGGGCTGAGAGACAGGGGCCCTGGGGGTCACCAGAGCCTCACGGCGCAGGAGCCCACCCACCCAATACGGACGGGGACCTGAGATCTGGGGTGCCCCTTTGTTCCCAAGGGTCTTGGGAAACTTTGTCACCCAGGCCCGGGGACGCTACAGAGCTGGTGGGAGGAGGCGCTCAGAAGGACCCTTTTTGTGCCCCCAGAAAACCTGAGCCCAGCCCAGGCCTGGGCGCTGTGAAGGCAGCCGTTTGTTCCTGTGACTCCCCCCGAACGCCACCCCAGCATCAGCAGGAGTAACCGGGTGCCCACGTGCTGTGCGCCCCTGATCTTCTGTGGCCCTGCAGGGTCCGTGTTATCATCCCCATTTTGCTGATGGGAAAACTGAGGCCCACAAAGATCACGATGCTTGCATATCATGGCTATCTAGTGGGAAAGCCGGGATTCGAACTAGCCTGGCTGGTGGCAGGGCAGAGCCTCCTCCCCCATCACATGGTACTTCATATGGGCAGGGGCCTGGGGACCAGAGGGAGCAGGGCGCCCCTCCCCAGGTGCTCCTGACTCCCAAAGGCGGGCCGTCGGCGTTGCTCCAGAGTGACTCTACAGGGGGTGGGGGGGACACCCCTTCTGCCCAGAGGGTCAGACAGACTCAGCGAGGAGGGGACCGCTCTCCGGTGTCTCAGAGACACCAGGGGCTGGGGGCGGGGGCAGCGCTTGTGGAGGGCACTGCTGGAGCAGCGGCTCGGAGGGGTGGGGAGGTCTCGGCCTGAGGGGGCTGGGCGAGTTCAGGGCGGCTGGAGCAGAGCCGGGTGGAGGAGATGCAGGGGAGGCTGAGCTGGTCACCTGTGTACGCACCGTGTGGCGTCTCTAGTGGTTTTTTTTGGGAGGGGGGGAGACGGGAGAGTTCCGCTGGGTTTACCTGCATGAGGTCCTCACCCACGGCCGTTGTGGGGGGCTGCAGGAGGGGACGGGGGCAGGTGGAAGGGAGGGGCAGCGGGCTCCAGGCAGGCCGAAGGGCCCAGGGAGAGGCCCGGGGGCCCATGGGGTCCTCCTGTAATTAAGGTGTGCCAGGACTCTGGTGGTTGGGTGGGCGCAGGGTAGGGTGGGGTGGGGTATAGGCCGGGCGCTAGAGCTTGGACGCCTTCAGGCAGCAGCATCTGCAGAATTAGACGCCAGCGATTCCGCTCCCAGCGGCCTCCAGACAGGCCCACCCTCAGCCCCGCGTCCTCGGAACGCTTTCATCTCTCGGCGCTGAGTCTGAGAATCTAGCCGGATGTGGCATTTCTAAGAGCCGGGTTGGGGGGGCGGGGCGGGGGGAGGTGGGGAACGTGAGACGCTAGACTCCTTCCTCCCTGTCTGGCAAATCGGGACGGGAAGCCGGGCTCCATCTGATATGGGGGGGACCCCAGTGCCCCCCTCTTCTGGGATGCGTGGGTCCAGGTGGGTGAGCACCTGCCCGCCTGCGCTGTGCAGATCCCGGTGTGCGGCGCCCCCTGCTGGCGCCTTTGGGAACAGCCGGGCCTCCGGCTCTCTGTGACCCCACGGACTGGAGCCCACCAGGTTCCTGTGTCCATGGAATTCTTCAGGAAAGAAGACTGGAGTGGGCTGATATTTCTTTCTCCAGGGAATCTTCCCAATCCAGAGATCGATGCACCTCTCCTGCACTGGCAGGCAGATTCTTTACCACTGTACCACTGGGAAGCCCCAAGTACAATTTTGATCAGTGAAAGTGTTAGTCACTCAACCGTGTCTGACTATTTGCACCCCGTGGACTGTAGCCTGCCAGGCTCCTCTGTCCATGGGACTCTCCAGGCAAGAATGCTGGAGTCGGTTGCCATGCCCTCTTCAATGGGATCTTCCCGACCCAGGGATGGAACCCATGTCTCCTGTGGCTCCTGCATTAGCAGGCGTATTCGTTACCATCTGAGCTACCAGGGAAGCCCAGGAATACTGAAGTGGGTAGCCTATCCCTTCTCCAGGGGATCTTCCCAACCCAGGAATCAAACCGGGGTCTCCTGCACTGCAGGCGGATTCTTTACTAGCTGAGCCGCCAGGGAAGCCCTCCTGGCTCCCAGGTGCCGTGAATTAGGAAGAGCCTCCCTACTGAGGCCCTGTGTCCTTTTGGGTTTTAACCCCGGCTTTCCTCCGGGGAGAGGATGGGCTGCTTTCCAGGCAGGCACTGAGTGACCATGGCCCCCTTTGTTTCCTTGGATCTCCTGCTAAACTCACGCACTGAATTGGGCCCGCTTATTCTTTCTTTCTCCTTTTTTTCCCTTTTCTTCTCTTCTCTTCTTTCCTTCCCTTCCCTTTCCTTTTCTTTTTTCCCTCTGCCCATCTCTCCCTCCTCGCACCCATCCATCCTGCCACAAATATTCCCTGACCACACTGTGCCCTGAGCCAGACAGTGCGGGGGACAAGCCTGCCTGGTCCCTCTCTAGGGAAGAACCAGTGAAGTGGGGGTGACCGTGGTCATTATTCATACAAGCACAGGCTAATCCCAGTGACGGCCACTCTAGGAGAAAAGTATGGTGACTCTGAACATGTCTGCAGGGGCCCTGCCTGAGCCCGAGGGTCGGAGGGCTTTCTGAGATGGGAAGGGCTGGGGGTGGGGTGGGAGAACATTCCAGCGAGGGGACGGTGGTCGCATGAGCAGCGGGCAGCTGCTGGTCCCCTGGGGCTCACATCCCCATTCACCTGTGCCCCGGGGCTGACCCTCTGCCCTTCTGCGGTCCAGGTTCTCCTTCTGGAAGCAGCAGAGCAGCCCTCAGGTCCAGACAATGACTTGCCGACGCCCCAGAACACCCCACCGCCCTGGAACGAGGGTCTCCTCCCTGACGCCATCCCGCTTGCCCACCCCGGGCCCCAGAGGAGAAGGCCCACAGGCCCGGCCGGTGAGTGAGACCTGCGGGTGGGGGGGCGCGGCAGGGAGGCCTCGCAGGGCCTCCACCAGTAGGTCATACACACCCAAAGGGCATTTTGGAAAACTAAGCTAACATTTAAAACCTGGGGGATTTCACATAAAAGTCAGGATTTCTCATTTCTCTTAGAAAAATGAAAGAGCTGGCCATTGGGGTTGGCAGTCCCTTATAGAAACAATTGGCTAGGACTTCCCTGGTGTTTCGAGTGTAAGGGGTGTAGGTTCAGTCCCTAAGATCCCACGTGCCGTGTGATGTGGCCAAAAAAATATTGGAAAAAAAAAAGAAACAGTTGGCTGCAGCTAAGTCATGGCTGCCCCCACAGATCTCATTCAAGCTCTGCAGTTTGCCACAGTCCTCACCATTCCCTACTGTCTCACAGTCCAGCTGCTGTCTTCACTGGCTGTCTAAACTGGCTTCACCGTTTAGCATCTACACGTAGGCCCCCAGTCCAGCTCCATCCTTGACTGGCTCGATTTTACAGCAGCCCCTGCCTGCACACCCCCAGGGGTGGGGAGCTTACTGCCTCCCTGCAACCTTCCGGGGAATCCTCTCTGAATTCTCCGACCAGAGCTGGAGGACACCCACTGGTCTGTTGCTTTCACTCTTCCCACCACGTTTTGAAGTTGGGGTAAATTTCTCTCTGCAGTCTCTCTCCATTGGACTGCGCTCTCTGGGACTGCAGAACAGTAATAGTAACTGTAGTACTATAGTTAGGATTGTTGAATGCCCGCCTCGTGCCTGGCACTGTGCTGGGACTTTACCCTGAGCGGAGGTGTAGCTGCCATCATCCGTGTGGCTGAACTCCAGGATTCAAGGCTGAGGTCTCGTCTGACTGATGAGGATCTGTGCTGTGCCAGTTATTCAGTATTTTTATATCACTCTAGTCTCTACAGATATCATGGCTAATCATTCCAGTGAGCTCGTAAAGCTCAAGTTACAGGAGAGAGAACCAAGGCTCAAAGAAGTGACCCCTGGGATCACCCAGCGATCCAGTGCTGTTTTGACTCAATAATTCACAGCCTCACCGGAGCCCTTTGCAGGGGACACCCTTCCTCCTGCTGTCCCCCAGTTTAGCCCCCATCTTCTTAGCAATCCCGCCCAGACCCAACTCCGACCCCTCCCTGCCTGCAGACCCCCAGCAGTGGGAGAGTTGACCGCCAGTGGCCAGTCCCGAGGTCAGGGAAGCAGCAGATACTCTGCAGGCTTCTGAGGGGCCTGGAGGCTCTGTGGAGGGTGAGCTTGGGCTGCTGTGGGAGGAGGGGGTGTCTTACTTGCCCTTGGGTCCCCAGCCCACCTCTCTAGCCATTCTCCCCAAAGTCTCACTCCCAGAAGACCTCTCTTCTTCAAATCCTTCTTCTGGGACTGAAGAGGGAGCAGAGTTCAGGGGGAAGTGGAGGGGGGGCGGTTCTCCTCTTCTGAAGGACCCAGGCCCCAGTGCGCCCTGGAGGGGAGGGAGGAAGCTGGGAGGGGCTTCTGTTCTCCCAAGGCAACTTTCTTATGGGGGCATGTCATTCCCAATATGGCCACCAGGTGGAGCACAAACCCCACAAATGGTTACACCTGGGTGCATCCTGGAATCCCAGAGGCCAAGTGGGAATCCCTGGAAACTGGCAGCCCCAGCGGGGTCCCCAAAGAGCCCTCTATCTGTTCAGCAATCATTTTTGAGCATCCTCCCCAGGTCCAGGCCTTTCTGAGGGATAAGAGGCTGTCTGCAGGCCACACAGTGGGCCTCCTGCCTCTCCATCTACTCTTGCCCCGCCTCGGGACCTGGAGATCCCCAGAGGGCAGGCAAGTCCTTCAGGGCTTCCTGGGGTCTCTAAGGAGGACTTATTGGGACGATCTTTGCCTGAATCCCAGTCCCCAAGCCTGAGCAAAGAAACAGCAGGACGTGGAAAGAGGGTTCTGACTCATTTACAGCCTGGCACTGCTACCTTAAGCAAGGGGCCACACCTTTCTGAGCCTCAGTTTACCCCACCTGTCAAATGGGAACACAAGTAGCTCTTGAGATCATAGAAGTGAACAGGAACAAAACTGGTTTGTATACTGTGATGAATGATGTGGTCCCTTTGCCCATGGCAGGTGAGGGGGCAGTTCTGACCAGACAGCAAGGTCGTTTAGCCTGGAGCCAATGGAGGCAGCTCAGCCCACAATGTTCTCAGGCCTCATTTCATTCTATCCCCAGGGCCCCCTGGACAGACGGGACCACCAGGGCCTGCAGGTCCCCCAGGCTCCAAAGGTGACCGTGGTCAGGCAGGAGAAAAGGGCCCAGCGGGGCCTCCTGGTAAGGACACCCGCCCACACACATACCCCGACGTGACTTCATCCACTGGGGGAAGGGGGTTGGGGTTTCTCCCCTGTCCGAGCAGGTGAGGCATCCCAGACACCCTCTTTCTTGGTGGCGCTGATGACTGCCATCTAGCAGGGCTCCAGGTTCCCTCCCTCCCACCACCACCTCCCGGGGCAGCCTCCTTCCAAGCACTTTGGGGCCTGGTCTCACCCGGGACTATGGGGAGAGGAGGCTCCAGCTGTGGGGGTGGGGCTGCTGGGGGCTGGAGGTTGTGCTCCGCCCCGTAAACAACGCCGAGAGGTCACGCAGCTGCTCCTGGGCCCTGTCGGGGCAGGTACAGGGCTGGGCCAGGCTGGCAGCCACCCTCGCTGCCTCTACCCCAGGGCTGAGGCCATCTGGCCACAGCGCCCGCTGACTTTACTGAACAGACCTCGCTGACCTCCCGCCTGGCTGCGCAGGGTCCCCTCTGCACTGGCTGGAAAAGGGGAGTCATTTCATTATATCCCAGGACAGCCCTCCAGGGAGTCTCTGGGACTAGAGGCCACCACCTTGCCTTCCCAGGTCTATTCCTCATCTCTGTTATGTCAGTCATGGGGCCCGGCCCTCCTGTGACTCCTCTTTCCCCCTGCAGGCCTCTTGGGGCCGCCAGGGCCCCGTGGGCTTCCTGGAGAGATGGGGCGCCCTGGCCCCCCCGGCCCCCCTGGCCCAGCAGGCAGCCCAGGCCTCCCTCCAAACGGCCCTCAAGGCGTCCTCTACTCCCTACAGCCACCGACGGACAAGGACAGTGAGTGTCACGCTTGAGGGCTGGGGTGGGAAGTCGGCCCAGAATCTGGAGGGTCCACTCCCCCAAAAGGACCCCGTGAAGCAGACTGTCCGTGGGTGGGGCCTCGGCTTTGCCAGGCGGGGGGACGGGGTAGCCTAGGTGGGGGGTGGTCCCCCAAACCCCACTGTTGGCCCCAGGGGCCTGTCCCTGCCTCTGTGCTCAGCTCCTGCCCCTGGGGTCTGACCCCCTGCTGTCCCTCTGCTCTCTGGCCTGGCCTTGGGGTCCCCCCTGGTGACAGTACCACCACCAAGATCATCCGTCACCCCTGTGCTCTTCACAAATCCCCTCATTGTAGGCCACTGGACAGGCGCTGATGGATGGAGCACCTCCCACGTGTGGGACTGTGTTTTAACCTCCGGGATACAGCAGTGAACAAACCAAGTCTCCTGCCTGCAGGAGCCACAGTCTAGCACAAGAGGGCGCCCTTGAGCACACACAGAACCGCCGCCGGGAGCATGGGGGGAGGGCGGGTCCAGGGAGGGCACCCCAGAGATGGGGCGGGGGTGGGGCCTGCGGCCCATGGAGGGCGTGGCTTTGGCTAAGGGCCCTGGGAAACGGGAAAGGTTTCAAGAAGCGGGTGATGAGATTGACTTGGCATTCTGAGTGGGTGACATCCCGGGCACCGTGGGGGCACAGGGACCTCTTGGTCAGCCGTCAGAGAAACCCAAGCCCCTTCCCGGCCCGCGCCCCGCGCCCCCCTCCGCCCTGTCCGCCCCGTTCCCCGGGCAGCGCCGCCCTGCCCCGAGCGTTAGACCTGCGCCTGAATCACAGGGTCCCGCTCCCAGCCTCCGTTTCCCCATCCCTAGAGCAAGAGTGGTAATACATCCTGACGGAGTTGCTCTGGGGTACACATCCCCCAGCCACGAGGGAAGGACTCATTCCCAAGGGGATCGGGGTGCCTGGGCTGCCCTCCGCGTGTGCGGGGGCCAGAGAAAAGAAGTCACTGGCGACCGTCTCACTGTCGTGGTGGGCTCAGTGGTGCCCCCTGGTGGAGGAGAAAGGGTGACTCTTGTTTAGTACCTTGGGGGTCTAAGGGTTCCACCGCCCGGCATCGCTGGGCCACGAGAGCTCAGCCGGCCCCAGCCTGGGCGTGATGCCTGGCGTCTGCCGCTGCCCGCCTCCAGTGCTCGGAGCCCCCCTCAGACAGGACCCTCCTTCCCCAGCCCTGGGGTCCCCAAGAGAAGGCAGACTGCCTAGAGGGCGCAGATGTGAACGCTTAGGAAGAGTGCGGGGGGGGGAGGGTCCCGGTGGAGGCACCGGGTTAGCCAGCACTGAGCAGCTATAGGAGGCCCACCAGCCGCGAGGCCTATGGAAGGGCTGCCCAGGCTTCCGTGGTGCGGGTAAGGGGGGAAAGGCAGAGGCGAACATCCCCAGCCCAGAGGTTTCCAAGCCTGGCTGTCTGCTTCTGGGTCTGAGGACAGCGCGGGGTGAGGTGACACGGAGCTCACTCTGGAGGGACCCAGGCCACGAGCCAGACCCCATCCGGCCCCGGGACCCTGTGGCTCAGATGAGTGGTCAGGGAGGGCTTCCTGGAGGAGGCCCCACAAGAGTGAGCTAGTCAGGAGTGTCAGGATGGGCATGTGGAGGGGAGCCTGGAACAGAGTCTGGCCTGGGCAGCCGGGAGGTGAGCAAGGCGGAGCCAGAGCCTAAGGGCCTGGAATTTTCAGGAAGATGTTTGTACTTTAAACAGAGCCCACAGGCTTCCCCGTCCTCTGATTTGGCCTCTGTGTTGATGGCTCGTCAGTAAAGAATCTGCCTGCAATGCAGGAGTCCCATTTTCGATCCCTGGATGGGGAAGATCGCCCGGAGAAGGAAATGGCAACCCACTCCAATACTCTTGCCTGGAGAATCCCATGGACAGAGGAGCCTGGCGGGCCCCAGTCTACGGGGTCACAGAGAGTTGGACACAACTGAGCAACTACACGTGAGGGAGCTCCTCTGAGCCAAGGGGGCAGTAGCTGCAGTGAGGCCCAGCAGGGTCGGGGCCACTCTTCCTGGCTCTGGGGGACTCAGCTCTAGCCCCGCCAGCCCTGCCCCGTGGGTCACAGGCCACTCTGCCCTTCCCGCAGATGGAGACGTGCAGCTGGCCTCCGCAGCTGTGGACACAGTGTTGGCGGGCGTCCCCGGGCCCCGGGGTCCCCCTGGCCCCCCAGGTGAGTGCAGAGGGCAGCAGCTGGTCTCCACTGGTACCCACTCCTGGGCTTCACCTGGGCCGGGGGTCCTGAGGGGGCCAGTTGGGGGCTCATGGCCTTGGCAGGGCACTGGGTCTGCCCCAGCCAGCAGCGACTTGGGGGGCGGGGGGCTCATGGGTGACAGCTCCCCTGCGACTGCACAGTGTTTCTGGGTGGCCTGACACCCACATGAAGCGGCCCCGGGCCACCCCCGAGTGAGCCAGAGCAGGGGTGCTCCGGAGGCCTAGGTCCAGGAGGTCTGCGTAGGGGATGGTGGGTGGGGAGACCGAGGGAGCTGGTGGGGCAGGTGCCTGGGCGAGACGGGGCCCTGGGCCTTCAGGCAGAAAGCGGGGTCCTGGGAGAGGGGATAGGACCCTCACTGAGGGAGGGGGTGGTGTGGGGGGGGCGGCGGGAGCCCAGGTGTGTGGCCGTCTCCTCTGACAGGTTCTACCCCTCAATGAAAGCAACAGAGGCGCTGGGCGCCCGTGGGCTGGGGGCGCCTCTTGATTCGGCTCCAGGCCGGGCACTCATTCCCCGCCAGTAGTTCAGTGTCTCACGCGGTCAGGAAACCCCCACTGAGCACCTCCTACAGGCTGGCCAGGGTCCTGGGTTCCTGGGATCCTTAGATAAACAAAAGATTTCTGTCCTCATGGTACTTACATTCTAGTGGAGAAGGCGGGCGGTGCCCTCCTGCTGTCTGTGAATCCTCCCAGAAAGCAGGGCTGGGCTCGCGGCTGGGCCAGGGTGGCCCCATTTAAAAGGTAGCATTGAGGAGGGTGCTGGGAGGGTGTTTGCCTTTTAGCTAGACTGTGTCCAGACCATTACCCCCTACATGGGTGCACTTTGCTGTAGGTCCTCCCTAGGCATGCCAGGGGGCACTCTGGTACAGACTAGCAGCCCAGGGGGCACAGAGACCTCACTCTTCCAAATATTCAAGGCATTTAGTCACGAACACCATGCCCTGCACTGCACCCATTGGGCCTGGCCTGATCCTCTGGGGGCTCCCTGGCCCAGAGGGGAGGCTGGCATTCAAACCAGTAGTGGCCCGAGGCAGTGGCTGGTCACTGTCAGGGATTTGCCTAGGGAAGAGGCGGGGGTAGGTGCCTGGAAGGCTTCCTGGAGGAGGTGACGCTCAGCCTGAGGCTAGTGGGAGTTTGCTGGGATGTGGAGGGGATGGGGACACTCCAGGAGGAAGGAACAGCCACCACAAAGGCATGGACCCAGAGGGACTTTCCAGGAGGGTGTTTGACCGATGAAGGTGGAGGAGGCTGGGCTGAGAGGGACCTGTCTGAAAAGTCACTTGTGGGGGCGGGTGCTGCGGGGATGGGTGACCAGCACTCCGGGTGGTAGGTAGCAGTTGTAGTAACCCAGGCAAGGAGGATGGTCTCAGGGAGGTGAGGTCTGAGGTCCCGAGGCGGGGCAGGCTCGAGGGAGATTTGCCCGAGGACTGACCAGCTGGGGAGAGTCTGCGGGTGCCCCTCGGCCCCGTGGATGAGGCTATGGGAGCAGCAGCGGGTTGTGGTGTGGGGGTTGCAGGCAGCGAGAAGGGCTTCCAGTGGACTGTCCGCTCTGGGGGTGGGCAGGGGGCCGGGGAGCCCATGCCCCCTCCCTCACCATTTATTCACCTCCCCTTTCTGCGCTGCCCAAGGAGACAGACCCAGGGTGGGTAGTAGGGCCCCTCTCCAGAGCCGATGAGGGGGCAGGGGGTGTCTCTGGCTCCAGGTGACCATCTGTGACTCTGCCGGCAGGTCCCCCTGGACCACACGGCCCCCCTGGCCCTCCGGGTGCGCCTGGATCCCAGGTAAGGTCTTGCCCATCTCTGGGGAGGGTGAGGGCACTGTCTCCCCAGGAAGGGAGGAGCCGGGCTTCTTAGCAGCACAGCTGCTCAGGAAGGAACCAGCCCACCTGGCTGGTCCCCACCTGGGTCCAGGTGGGCCCCAGGGGAAGTCAGGCGCGGGATCCTGGTTTTCTTAGCAACAGCCCTTTGCTGCCCACCCCACCTGGGCCCCATGGCACCCACTCCAGTGCTCTTGCCTGGAGAATCCCAGGGACGGTGGAACCTGGTAGGCTGCAGTCCATGGGGTTGCGAAGAGTTGGACACGACTTCACTTTCACTTTTCACTTTCATGCACTGGAGAAGGAAATGGCAACCCACTCCAGTGTTCTTGCCTAGAGAACCCCAGGGACGGCGGAGCCTGGTGGGCTCCCGTTTATGGGGGTCGCACAGAGTCGGACACGACTGAAGCGACTTAGCAGCAGCAGCAGCTACCTGGGCCCAGAGAAGTTAGCATCGTTCCCATTTCATAGATGAGGTAGCCCGAGGTCATGCAGGCAGTGTGTGGAGCTGGGCCAGGATCACAGCCATGGCCCCTCTTTGAGAATTGCCTGTGTGGGGGCGCAATTGCTTTGCCTCCTCAGCTGTGTGACGCTGGGCAGAAAGACAGCCTCTCTGGGCTCGGGCTCCGGCTCCTTGGCTGCTAAGACGGAGTGGGTTGTTACAGGGAGTAAGAGAGAAATAAAGTGTCAGGGGGAAGTGACTTGTGCTGCAGGGCCCCAGGGGCCTGGGGGGGATGTCACACGGAGGAGAGGGGACTTTGGACACCAAGGCAGGCAGGGCTTTGTTTGGGGGTGTCTGCACAGAGCTTCCTGCAGCTCATCCAGGCCGAGGGCTTCAGGTTCCCTGGAACTCGGGCCTGGGCGGGAGAGGGGGCGGGGATGACTGAGAAGCGGGGCTCCCACTGCGAGGCTGGACAGCTCACCCCTGACAAAAGGGCAGGAGCAGGTGTGAGGCTGACAGAGGCTCTCGTGAGAAGGGCTGGGGGCAGTAGGACCCCCCTCTAGAGACCCAAGCCCACAGCAACAGGCAAGGTCAGAGATGATGGTGTCCCTGACCCTTCCCCCCACCTGCTCGTGCCAACTCCTTTCAGGGTCCCCATTGTGTTATCCCCGCAGTGACGGGGACGCAGAGGCTCAGAGAGTTTCTGTCATTTGCCAGAGTCACCCAGCAGGGGAGCAGAGCGGGGGTCCCGGCAGGGCCAAGGTCACTCCAGGCCCCGCTCCAACTTTCTCGGGGTCCCTGCCCTCTGCTAGCAGGTAGTCCGATGGGGGAGGCTGATGAGATAGAGAGTAACTGGGGCGGGACCTACAGCAACAGGAGCGGGGTGACAGATAGGAGAAGGTGACGCTTCGACTGAGACCCGAGGACCCAGAAAGGAGCAGTCATGCAAAGATGCCAAAAGCGTTTCAGGTAAAGGGAAGCGTAAATGCAAAGGTCCTGAGGCCAGGAAACACCAGGCAGGTCCTGAGCTAAGAAGCGTGTCGGGGGAGGTCAGGTGGGAGGGAAGTGGGCAGGGCGGTACCTGCAGAGCCGATGCGCAGACCTGGGTCACAGTGAAAGGGGGCCTTATCGAGTGTCAGGGAGGGAGAGTCCAGCACCCAATTTTCGTCTTTCCAGGGCCCCTCTGGCTGTGGCTTGAGGAGTGGAAGGCGGGGGCGGGGGAGTGGAGCAGGGAGATCAGGGAGGAGGCTGGGGCAGCGCAGAGGAAACAGATGTATCTAGAAAGTGGACCTGACAGGTCTGGCTGATGGAATAAATTCGGTGAGGGCGGGAAGGGGAAGGTTAACTGCGAGGTGCGTACAGGAGCGGCTGTGGACCGCAGAGCCACTTCATGGAAAAGAGAGACCGCAGGGTGGGGGCCGGGCGGCTGGGCCGGGGGGAGACCAGGAGTTCCACTTTGGAGAGGTTGAGCAGGGGCGCCTCCTGGCCGGCCAGGTTGGGGTGCTGGGGGGGCAGCTTGATGCACAGGTCTGGGGCTCCAGGGAGCCTTCTGACCGGGCCTCAATGCTGATGGGGAGCCCACGCGGGGACCCTCACCTTCACCACTAGTAGGAGTCGCGTTAGTGGCTCAGTCGTGTCTGATTCCTTGTGACCCTTCATGGGTGACCTTGTGGCTCTTCATGGCTCCTCCAGGCTCCTCTGTCCATGGGATTTCCCAACAAGAGTACTGAAGGGGGTTGCCATTCCCTTCTCCAGGGGATCTTCCCGACCCCGGGATCGAACCCGGGTCTCCTGCATTGGCAGGTGGATTCTTTACCATCTGAGCCTCCAAGGAAGCCTGAGATCATCACTGCTGTCACTCATTCTAGGAGGGCCCTTTCTGAGTGCTGGGGGGATGTGTGTGCGGCCATCTGGTCCCCTTCTCCAAGGGTCTCCCCGGTGGCTCAGACTGTGAAGAATCTGCCTGCCAATGCAGGAGACACAGGAGACTCGAGTTTGATCTCTGGAGAAGGCGATGGCAACCCCCTCTAGTGTTCTTGTCTGGAGAATCCTGGGGACGGGAGCCTGGGAGGCTATAGTCCATGAGGTCGCAGAGAGTCGGACATGACTGAGCATGCACGCACGCATGTGCCTTCTCCAAGTGATGATCATACTTGGCATTGGCCCATTTCACAGACAAGAAGATGGAGGACTCAGTGGAAGCCCACGGTCATCCACTGGCCAGTGGTGGGGGCTCCAGAAGCAGACAGGCCCCCCGCTGCGGCACCCCCCGATTTCGGATTTTTCAGATTTCCAGAGCCCAGTGCAGGGGGAGGGCGTGCAGAGGACTAAGGGGTTGTGAAGGGCAAAGCCTAACTTCCTTTGTCTGATTTTCTGCAGGGCCTGGCTGGAGAGCGGGGCGCCACGGGGCCATCTGTAAGTGTGGGGCCGTATGTGGGGCCACCCCCAGGGCGATGGGCTCGGGTGAAGGCGCCGGGTACCAACTGGGTGGGTGTCTGCCACAGGCAGCCTGACTGAGCTCAGGCCCCCAGCCTCCCCGGGCATGGCCAGATCCAGCCCAGCCAGGACGGAGCAGAGGGAGAGAACTGGGCAACCTGGGTGCAGTGCCAGCTGCCCAAGGTGGGAAGGGGTGACTTTGGGAAGTGGGACACTCCCCCCGTCCCCGGGCATATGAAGTAAGGACTGAAATAGCCGCCTGTCAAGGGGCTTGGATGAGAGTCCTAAGGTCTTTTGCCAGGGGCCCAGGCCCCTGGGTTAATATGCTGCGTGACCTGCAGAGTCCCTTGCTTTCTCTGAACTTCCCAGGAATAGACATAGACGGCTGACCACTCATTTCCCATCTTAAAAATAAGAATTCACAAGACTCAGCCCCATCTTCAGGGCCAAGGAAGTGGGCACGTGCCCAAGTCTTATGTCAGAGGCACAGGACTGGGGGAGAAGGGGGAGCATCTTCTATGTGGAGGCCTTCTTTATCCTTAGTGGGTTTAAGCTTTACAGTGCCCCCGCGAGATGGTGCTTTGTTTCCCTCTTTGCCAGAACTGGCAGCTGAGGCCCAGAGAGGTTAAGCAACTTGCCCAAGGTCACACAGCTAGACCAAAGTAGAGCCAAGATTTAAACTGAGGAGTGTTAGCCTCCAAAGGCAGGCCTTCCCCAAGCTTGTTATCAAGAGTGATATATTTAATCCTCCTAATAGCTCTGTGAGGTAGGCACTGTTATTATCCCCATTTTGGAGACGGAAAAACCGAGGCACAGAGAGGTAAAGTCACATAAGAGTAAGTGGCCTCCTAGGTGTTATTGTGAGGCTGATATTACTGGCCCCGTTTTACTTATTTAAATTTTAATTTTTTTACATTTCATTTATTTTGGCTGCTCTGGGTCTCTGTTGCCGTGCATAGGTTCTCTAATTGCAGTGCAGCATGTGAGATCCTAGTTCCTTGACCAGGAACTGAACCCACGTCCCCCCGCCCTGGAAGGTGGCTTCTCAACCACTGGACCAACCGGGGAAGTCCCTGGCCCCAATTTTAGAATCAGAGAAACAGAGGGGAAAGGCAGGGGGCCTGATCCCTGGAAGGGCCGGAACCTGAGTTCCAACCTGACTCCTCCCTTCCTAGAAACAGAATTAAGCCCCTAAAGTCAAGCCCATGCCGGCCTGTGCAGGGGTCCTGGGTAGAGAAGCTGGGCACCCATCACTGACCCCATGACTTTCTTCCCAGGGGGAGCCTGGCGGGAAGGGGGAAGAGGAGGAGAAAGCCGCCGCTGAGGTAACGGTGCCCCTGGGCCTGTGCTTCCCTCCTGCCCCCTGGCTGTGTCCTTGCAGGACAGTCCAGTAGAGCTGGACCGACCCCTTCATCCTGAGCGGGGCGTCAGCCGCAGCGCGAGTGGGGGCCCACCCGGCAGGGGAGGCAGTGGAGTGGGTAGTGACTGTGGCCCGGTGTGAAGTCAGCTGCAGTGGGGGAGCGCAGATGGGATGACTGGCCCGGGGCCTGAGGGTGGGGGCGACCCCGCCGGAGGGCGGAGGAGCCACGGACCAGCCGACGAGACCCTCTGTTTGAAGGAGGCCTCGGGCTGTGGGGTCTCTCTCCAGGGCTAAGACCCTCCCATGACAGCGCCTGGCACATGGACGTGCCCAAGGTCACGGTGCTGCTGGACTGAAGGGTGTACGGGCAGGAGGAGAGCTGGCTGGTGGATGTGGGAGAGGACAGATGGAAAAAGGATGTTGGGGGCACACAGCGGGCAGAGCAAGTCGGGGCAGGGCAGGGGCACGGATGGAGTGCAAGCGTGGCTGTAGGGACCATACCTTCTGGGAAGCGGAGGGGAGGCTGGGGACCAGGGTGATGGGTGAAGGGAATGAGGGCGGTGGGGTAAGCTGGAATGAGTCACCTGGTGTGACAGGGCTCGGCCAGATGTCCAGCACAGCGGGCACGCTGCACCCCCGAGTGAGCTTGGGGAGATGCTAAGCCAGGGCTGGGGGTGCCTGGAGAGATGGGTGGTGGGCACTGGAGGTGGGCAGCTATGTGAGGCAGGCTGGGCTGGAGGGGGTAAAGCTGGGATCAGGGGACGTTCCAGAGGTCCTTATAGAATTGAAGGGATCCTTACAGGATTGAGGCTGGAACCATGGCAGCCATGGTGGGCACAAGAGACAGTGGGAGGACGATGTGGATGCTGGGGTCACTTGCGATGGATAACTGGGAGGGTACCCACGACTTCCCCTTGCCCAGGTTCATCAGCGTGCCTCCTGTGGCCCAGGGACCGGGGCTTAATTGGGTCCTGACAGAGGGGGCCTGGAGCCCCTGCTCCTCACTGCGGACACCCCCATCCCAGACACTACCCACAGCCCGGCTTCTCATGGTCTTTGACGGGAAGAGCTCTCTTGTGTAACTCAGTAGCATGCTCTCCGGTTTTCTTTTGCTTTAAGCGCAATTAATCTAAGTGTCATGACAGAGCTGTCATGTTCCACCAGCCAAAAAGGTTCCTGTTTGCTGCTGCCGCCGGGGCGGGGCCTTGCCTCTCTACCATCACTTTTTTTTTCTTCAAAGTGACCTTGTCATCTTGTCTTCATTAATCAGCCTATTCACGTGTCCTGACACCCGAGGTCCTTCGCCGTGTGTAGGGCGGGTCCCAGGAACACAGAGGCACCATCTTTGTGCCCTCCCACGGGCCTTCCCTCGGCTGTGCCCTCGGATGGGTGGGACCGGGACGGAGACCAGCAAAGCGCCTCCCACCCATGGGCCCGTATGAGGTGCTCTGCCCACAGCAGGACATTTTCTAGAAAGAAGGGTGCACAGGGAGGCAGCTGGCGGCCATGGGAGCCGCAAGCTCAGGCCGGAGGCAGACAGGGCTGTGTGAAGCCCCGGGCTTGGCCATTTCCGGCTTGGCCACTTCCGGCTTGGCCACTTCCGGGCTGTGGGGCCGGCTCGTCTGGGCTTCAAGTTCCGTGTCTGTGAACTGGAGTTCGAGCCCCAGCCCTGGTGCCGGGGTGTCTCGTCTGTGGTGGCCGTTGCGTTGACAATGGTGACAAGAGGGAAGTGGCGGGCTGGGACAGGACGCTGGAGCAGGGTGGCCCTGACCCCACGGCTTCCTCCACCCCAGGGCGAGGGGGTGCAGCAGCTGCGGGAGGCCCTGAAGATTTTGGCCGAGAGAGTGCTCATCCTGGAACACATGATTGGCATCCACGGTGAGCGGTGACCCGGGCCGCCGAGTCCAGCATCTCCCTCCGCCCTGCCTCCCCAGCTGCCCTCGCCCGTGCTGCCTCTGGTCCCCTCTCTCCCTGCCCTGATGGCCCCACACCTGGCGGCCAGTCTGCCCCTGTCCCACCCCTGTTCAAGAACCCTCCGTGGCTCCCTGCTGCCCGAGACCGAGGCACAGCTCTCAAGTCCCTCCCCTAGCACAGCCTGGTGTCGGTGACTCAGAGCCGTCATCCAGGCGCCCCGGGACCCTCCCACCACCACACCTCTGCTCAGACTGGCCGCTCTGCCTCCTGAACGCCAGCTCCGGCCTCAGGGCCTGCTCTAGGATCTCTTCCTCTGGGAAGCCGCCCTCCTGTCTCCTCCCTGTGTTCCATCGAGCCTTCGATTCCCTTACAGGGTGGGGTGTCTATATCTCTCCCTGGGACCTCTGCAGTGCCTGGAACCTGGCCCTGGTCAGCATTGTTTGAAGAATGAATGAATGAGTGAATGGTGAATAAGTAGATGAGTGAATGGGAGACTGAATGAATGAGTGAATGAATGGATGAGTGGATGAATGAATGAGTGAATGAATGGATGAATAAATGAGTGAGGGAATGAATGCATGAGGACTAGACGCTGGCAGCTGCTTTGTCCCACCCTCACTGGGCACAGAGGTTCCTTGACTGGCGGGACTGGAAGTGAAGGGGCTTCGCGGGCTCCTGAGGCCCTGTGTGAGCCCACCCTCCTGCTTTCCTTCCAGATCCCCAGGCCACCCCTGAGGGGGGCTCTGGCCAGGACGCCGCCCTGAGAGCCAACCTCAAGATGAAGCGTGGAGGCCCCCCACCCGACGGCTCCCTGGCTGCCCTGCTCGGGCCCGACCCCGGGCAGAGGAGCGCTGGCCGGGCCAGCAGCGGGAAGTAGGAGGCCAGCTCTCCCGGAGGAGCCCCGGCTCCGCCAGAGACTCCGCCCCGAGGCCTGTGCTGCCGTCAGCACTGAGGACACCCCGAGTGGGACTGGGCTCCAGGCCTGCACGACCGTCAGGGACACTGGCTCCCGGGGGCCTTGGGAACAGATGGCAACGCCAGGGGCGGGGGCCAGAGGGGCCCAGCACCCCCAGCCGAGCCCTGCCCTGGTCCCGGCCCTCCCCACCCCCACTCCCTGCTGGAGACGGGGTCTGGTGGCTGGGTGGGATGCGGGAATCGTCATAATACTCGCCATTTACTGGGTCCCTGAGTCGTCTGGGCCCATCCGAGGAACTTCCCTACATTGTCTCATTTAACCCTTAGGACGTAGGCTTGTTCCCCCCACTTTACTTGGGGGCAGAGGCTGGGAGAGGATAAATCACCTGCCCGAGGCCCCTGGACCGTGGAGGACCGGGGCAGGATTTGAACCCGTGTTCTCTCTACCTGCTAGCTCCCCCTCTTCACGGGACACTCAAACAGGGCAGGCGCTGGGCCAGGTGGCCCCGGAGGCTCCAGCCGGGAAGGAGGGCAGGCCCTGCCCAGCTCGAGACCCTGGGGGCCCTCCGGCCTCCTTCCTTGACATCCCTCCCTGGGCTCAGGGGTCTACTTCACAGGTGAGGAGGTGGGCAGCTTGGCCTGTAGCTGCTCTTGCAGGCCAGGGAGACCTTGAATAAACCCCTGACAGTCAGTGGACTTGGAGACCGTGAGAGAGGAGTGTTGGGGTGCCAGGATCCCCAGACTGAACTGGCATCACCCCCTGCTGCATCCTAATCCCTCTGACCCCACCCACCCTCCCAGGGCCTCCCACCGCTGAGCAGCGAGGAGAAGGATTGAATGGGACGGTGTACCCGCTGGGGGTGTCCCTCCAGCCCCGACCTCTCCCAGACTCCCTGAGAACCGGCAGGGTTAGGGTTAGGGTGGCCCCTTCGAGTTACAAGGCAAGTCCTGTGTCCCAAGGAGAAGGAGGGGTCGCCACCTGATTCCCAGGCCCTGCTGGGGAGAGACACTCCGCGCTCGGTCCTGTGGGCCCAGCCTGGCTCTGGTCCTGGGTCCCGGTGCCCTAGAGCAGCTCAGACCAGGGCCCTCAAGGCCTCTTGGGCGTCAGGTCCTCTGTGCCCTGGACCTGCCCTGGTGCTCCTCTCTCGCTGTCTCGGCCACAGCAGCAAACGCAGACACTCCCAGGTGCTGGCGCCGCCCCCATGGTCTCCCCTTGTGGCATGAGTGACTTCTCCCCACCGCCCTTGGTGCTACTGGGAGGCTGTGCTCCATCCCTCTGGGCCCTGATAACCTCTCCCTGCCCTCGAGGCCGGGACTGCCCCTCGGGAGGCAGGGCTGGCTGGGTGGGGGGCCAGGTGTGGCTTCTTGCAGGCCTGTCTTCATGGAGGGGCAGTAACCCTCTGACAATAAAGGTGCTCTCCCCCTGTGGTCGGGTGTCACGTGGTAGCGGCCGTCGGGGAGGCCGGGCCAGCTTCAGCCGGGCCCAGCCCCGGGGGATCTGATGGGAGGGAGTCAAGGGGACCACAGGGCCCCGAGGAAAGGCGGCCTGGCCCTGCCCCCTGGGAGCCCCACATGGGGGCCTAGAAGATCGAGGGGTGCTCTTCGGAGGCTGCCCCACCCTCCAGTCTAGGCTCGGCCCTGGGCCAGCGCTGCTAGCGGGAGAGAGTGAGGTGGGAGGGTTCCCGGTGTTGGGCAGAAGGACCCCTACCCACCATGCTCCTGCCCCGGGCCTGGGGTCCTGGACTTTCTCGTCCGGGCCCAAGTGCAGGTGGGGGCCCTGGGACCATCCCCTGAGTCCTCAGCTGAGGTCGGGGACTGGCTGAATGCCACCCAGGGCTTCCTGCAAGCCATGTCCCACCAGAACTCAGAGCCTTACTGGGCCCACCACCACCACACACGCTCTGACAGCAGCCCCCTTCCCACGGCAAGACGGTGTGTTTCCAGCTGGAAGTGTCGGGCTGAAGCAGGAGCCAGAGGCCCGGTCTGGGAGGACCCTAAACACTGGATGGGGAGAAGCTGACCCAGCGGGGCTGGGTGGCTGTGGCCGCTTCTCACCATCAGTCCGGCCTCCCCTTCCACCTGGATGGTGGAGCGACCTTTCTGATGTGCACGCGGGCAGCACCCCCTTTACTCATGAAGCAGCAGTGGCCTCTTGTTCCTGGTCCCCAGCCTGCTCTGCGACTTGTCACTGTCATCCAAGCCTCCATCCCCGTGGCTGCTAGCCACACGGAGGAACCACCTGGTCTTGTCTCTGTAACGCCTGTGGGTGCGGGTGCCCTGCAAGGCGCTTGGTGCCTGCAGGGCGTGGGAGAGAACAGGACACGGGGCCAGGGTGACTGGTACTCACAACCCAGGGGGATCATAGCTCTTGGCTTCAGGCGAGAGCCTCAGATGCATCACCTCCTCTGACGCCAGTGGCCCACAGCTGGCTCGGGCCCCTCTGGCCCTTGGTTCCGTCCTGACCATGAGTGTCTGTGCTGATGTGTGGAGGCCCTGACCTGCTCAGCCTGCAGGTCCCGCGATGGATTCGGACAGTGAGGCACATCACCTGGAGTGCCCCTGCTATCTGGGATGGGGCTTCCATGGTGTGGGCCCCCCTCCTCTGCCCAAAACTGCCCATCTCCCTGCAGCCCCTGGGGAGGGGGTTCCTAAGGGTCAACCCAGTGCAGGGGGCAGGCATCCCTGAGTCCCTACCCCACCACCCACCTGCAGGGTCCACCCAGAGGGATAAGGAGGGAGAATCAGCTCAGCCTCCCCCCCCCCCACCACACTACCCTGCCCTCCCCTCCCCATCTCCTCCCGGAGCCTGCTCAGCTCACCATCCCCCTGCCACCCTCAGGACACACCCACCCTCTCTCCAGGCACTGCCCCCTGTGCCCTGGTGTCCAGATCAAATCAGAACAGGGGCTGACAGCTCTTCACTAACACTCTCCCTTCCAGGCCCGCTCCCTAGTCCGTGGGACCCTCTTCTCTCTGCCTGGCTGAGCCTGGGGGAGCAAGACACTGAAGGGCGCAGACTCAGGCCCTGACTTGGGCCTTCCTCTCCCTGGCCGGGGTCCCCAGGGTCTCCTGGGCAGGGCAGGTGTGGGGCCGGGAGTCTAGGCCTGGATGCAGTTCCTTCACACCCACAGCCAGGAACCCCTGCCAGCCCTACCTTAGTCATCCACCAGCCAAAACAGAAATTCAGGATCCCCTAGGTCAGACAGTGGCTCAGTTGGTAAAGAATCGGACACCTGGGTTCAATCCCTGGGTCGGGAAGATCTCCTGGAGGAGGGCATGGCAACCCACTCCAGTATTCTTGCCTGGAGAATCCCATGAACAGAGGAACCTGGCGGGCTACAGTCCATGAGGTCACAAAGAGTCAGACATGACAGCGTAGTTGTCGCAAGACACTTTCACTTTCAGGTCAGACAGTGACTCTTGGCAAGTGCCTGCCTGTGGTGGCCACAGCGTGGCGGGGACTCGGGCTGTGCTGACCTTCAGTGGCTCCCACCGGCTCAGCGGCACCTGCGGTTAAAACATCCAAAGGCCCCTGTACTGACTGACCACAGCTCCCGCATGCCCCCACCATCCCAACCCCTCCTGTAGCCTCCCTGGAGTCTAGGACTGGGCTCCAGCGCCAGGAACAGAACCTATGGTGATGGATGGGCTCCTCTGCTACACTGATCATAAAATATTTTTAGTGTCTCTCCTGACACAGGCAATGAGAAGCTGATGGCAGAGCTGGGGGCCAAAGGGTACTTCTGCCCCTGCCTGGGGGAACATGATGGCCTCAGACAGAAATTCATAGCTGATGTGCTGCCTTGGGGCTTCCCTGGTAGCTCGGATGGTAAAGAACTCTCCTGCCAAGGCAGGAGACATAAGAGATGCAGGTTTGATCCCTGGGTGGGGAAGATCCCCTGGAGGAGTGCATGGCAACCCACTCCAGTATTCTTGCCTGGAGAATCCCATGGACAGAGGAGCCTGGCGGGCTACTGTCTATAGGGTCACAAAGAGTCAGACACAACTGAAGCAACTTAGCACGCACGCATGTGCTGCCTTGGGACAGGCCCCTGGAAGGAAAGCCTGGATGGTCATGGTCGGAAACCTGGAAGTTGGCCAGAAGCCCCAGTGAGCCCACGCCAGGGTTGTTGGGGCATTCCAAGAGGACTCCTGTTTTCTGGGGCACCCCCTTGGGACTTGAACTCAAGAGAACACTGTGACCTGTTTTCTGGACCAGGAGGGAATCAGGGTGAGGCTGGAATCAGACATTCACCTGATCCCCCAGGGGTTCAGGGGTCACCTCTGAGCATCTCCTTTCCCAGAATGCACTGGGCGAGGCTGGCCCCCTCCAGGCTGGGTGGGAAGGGCACCTGGGGACACTTTCTTCTCATCCTGCGCTTGGTGAGTCCCAAAGGCACATGAGGGGCTATGGGACTATTCTGCCTGCAGGCCGGGACCAGCCAGAGGTGGTCCAGGGGCCACTGGGGTCCCCAGCTCAAGCTCTCACCTGCCTGGATCAAAAAGTCACCCTCGGGTTCCCCATCCCCCTGCTCCACCCCATGTCACTCAGCTGTGATCTTCTCGTGGGGAGGGTCACACGTGTGTCCCCAGTGCCCAGCTCTGATCACCGCAGTGAGTCACAAAGGAGAGGGACTCCTTCCCGGATCCCGGAGGCAGTGACCGAGGTGGTGAGGGGCACCTCGATCAGACCCAAAGCCCCCTCCCCACTCTGACTAACCTGTACCCGCAATCCCTGCTACCCTGAGGTTTCTGGAACCTCTCCTCCAGACCTAGTTTATGGATTATAAAAAAGAGAATTTCACAAGATTTGCAATTACTTGAATTCCAGGGAGATTTATTTCCAATGTGATTAATAAATTCTAATGTCATCTATAACTTTCAATTGCCAGTTAATTAACATGCAATGGGTGCATTGTAAAAGGCAAATTAAATACTTTCTCAGGCGGGGGCTGGTACATC